TATTAGGCCCACCTATGTGCCAGGTATTTTGCTAGGCAATAGGGATAAAAAGATAAATTCACTCATCTCTGAGAGGTAGACAACCTTTTACAATAGTGTGTGAAGCAATTGAAAGCAGCCCTGTTACAGGCCAAAGGATCATAATCTGTGTTATCATTCAGCTCCCTACTTTGCTTGGCTAATGTAGACCTGACTCAGTAGAGTAGGAAGTCAGATGACTCATTACTGTGAAGCACTCTACACTAATTTCAGACAGAAAATTATCACATGAGGTAGGGGGTCATGAACTTGACCACAGTTCAACAAGAGACAGCGGTGTGGCTACTTAAGTAGGCAATGCATTCCCAGACTGTGCTAGAGAAGCACAGCATCACATCAAATGTTGTAGCACAGTCCCACCAGGCCCCACAGGAGTATGCTATATAGCTCCTGGCACATTTCCAGGAAGGACACGAAGGTCACACTACCACTAGGCCTCATGGATTCACCAGGATAAAATGTTGCTGAGGAAAGACAAAGGTGGTCAATTCAGAGCAAAGTTTTGAAACTAGCTGAATGGGGAACCCACACTGCACAATGGAGACTTTGAAATTGGCAAGTGGTGGTTTGAATCCTAGCTTTGTCTTTTACGAGCTCTGTTATCTTGGGCAAATCAGGTATTTCCCAAAATATGGGTAAAGAATCCCAAGGAGCATACAAAATGTTCTTCAAGACAATTCAGGTAGTACATGAGTCAGTTCTGGGTGATGCTCTGACCAGGCAAGAAATCACTTAGTGAAAGGTTATTCTCTTATCAATCTCTTTAGATCCTTTTGAATATATTAAAGAGAAAAATTCTATTTGGCCCTAACTTTCTAACACTGGCTAATTTCATTTGTTTGTTTGTTTGTTTGTTTGTTTGTTTGTTTGTTTTTTTAACAAATGGGGAGTAGGCCTCAGGCTCACAACTAGAATTTGATAACTGTATTTATTTTAAAGATTACCTCCCATGAATTTGCAATCTATACTGGTTTTGCATTTATGGGAGTGGTATAAAATTCTCCTTAAAAAAAAGTGAGTAAATTTACATAAAAATATTTTTTAACAAAAGAAAGGTGGTAAGTCATTTAGCCAAGAATTAATATGATGGTTTTCTGAGAGTACAAGGTTAAGACAAAAAGAAGAGATATGATAGTATCACTTAGATAAATCTTAACAGATACACAAGAGAAGCAGTGTTTTTCAAAATATCACCTCAACTAGGTATTTGCACTTTAAGGTAGATTTGTTTATTTGTTTGCCCGTTTGAATTTTACTTCTAACTATGAAAGAATTCTTTTGTTCCTCATTAAACCAATTTCAAGCTTCTGCAGGTAGATATGAGGAGAAGGCGCCCCTGGGAAATCAATGTATAAGTTGACATAGTTGAAACTATATCAATATGAAAGAACAGCCCTGAAGGTAAACACAGTATAGTCTTTTTTTTTAAAGAATTTGGAAGCTTCCTTAAGGGTCCTTCCTTTTCTAGAAAGAGCAAAACAGGCACTGGCTTTACTCTTGCCAACTGGGGTCTATTCCTAAATGGAAGCAAATGGCCTCTGTTGTCTTCTCGTAGGAGTTGGCCGTACCCTGGCACATGTCCACTAGATAGATGCCCTCCCTCCAAAATCATCCTGGACTCCCCCTTCTCCAAGAGAACATGAGGTTTGCTCCACCCTTTCTTCCTCCATCCAACCTGGGTTGTCTCCTTTCTGTCCCAGTGCATTCTGGCAGCATTTTGATGAATAGTACATACTATTTCCAAGTCATGTCTCTTCCTTCTCTGACATCTTAGAATGCAAGATGTTATGCTTTCTATATTCTGCCACTAAATCATTGGACCACATCTTTAATAATGAAAATAAGAATATATTATTTTATCGGCACGCCTCCCTTTTCTAGAGCTGGACCCCTGGCTATTGCAGGATTAATATCTCGCTCATTTGCACCATGAACAAGGCCAGCTTAGAATGGTTTCAGCAGCTTGCTACCCTCATCAACTTGTCATTGCTAACAACAGCTTGTGGCTGTGACTGATACATTCCAGGGGGAACCCAGTGGGAGGTGGCTTTGATTTGGGGCCAAGCCATGCCAGACTGTGAGTTAGTCAGAACAGTGATGGACACTATAGATGCAGTATGTCCTGATAGGTTGGATTAAGGTTCAAACATGAGATCAAAGGATGACACGCCCAAATAGTTTTGATCAATGAGATTAATCAAAATGCACAGGCATTGAACCATTCTGTGTTTTGGTTTATTGAGGGTTATCGAGGGGGAAAAAAAAGTCCACCTTTTTCATTTTAATATTACACATATAGATATTATCATTATTGCTAACAAAGCAGTTCTACACACATTTATATCAGTTGAAGCTATTTTATAGTGTATCAATACATTGACTTAAAATGAAATTCAAACTCCTTACCATGGCCCACCAGGCCCAGTATGATGGTCACCCCTGTCTGTGTTCCACTTGCATCTCATAATACTTGCTCTCTTGCTCACTCTGGCTTCTTTTTTGTTTCTAAAACTTACCAAGTTGGTTTCCACTTCATGGCTTTGCAATTTCAGTTTCTCCTACCTGAAAGGCACTTCCTCAGCTCTTTACATGGCTGATTCTTTCTCATCATTTAGGTCTCAAGTAAATGTTCTATCCCCAGAGACATCCTGACCACTACTATGTTCAAAGAAGGTTCCCATCCCTTACTTTGGCTCTTAGCAGACCAGATCCTCATCTAAACCACAGAACAGAGAAAATGTTTTGACTGATTACTTCCTTGATTCTCTCAAGGGCTGCATATAACTTGTACCATTGTCCTTGTACAGACGTTAATTTGTTATATACAATGGATGCGTAGGGCATTAGGGTATAATTCTCTACCATCTAATCTATCATATCATCTGGCTTATTTCCTTCATAGTACTCACCACATACTGTAATTAGCTGACTTATCACTTGTTTATTTATTGTCTGTCACTGAGTTCTAGAATATGAGCTCCTTAAGGGGAGGAGCTTGTTGTCTTGGTCAGGCTGAATATCAAACACATAACACAATACTGGTTGCCTTGCAAATGTACAGTAAAGCCCTGTTGTCAAGTGAAAAAATATTATTTAGAATCTTTGATAACTTAGAATCTTTGCAGTGACCCAGGCAGTGGTTTTTTAAACTTTAGCATACTCATTAAAGAACTCACCTCCAAGGATTCAGATTCAATAATCAGGTCATTCTGAAATTTACTCTTTTTAGTAAAAGATAAAAAGTTCAGGTTGGGTATATAAGACATCCAAAGTTGTTTTCTTTTTAAAACAAAATGCTTGATTTTTTATTTCAGCTTATTTCTTATGGCATAGTTGACTGTTTGCCAAAAAAAACCATTAGAAAATTACATTCCCAGAACACAAACAAAATTGTGGTTATGAATAGTAACAGTATCTTCAAAAATAAAGGCAATAGATTTACAATGTTAATTACTTATTATTGAGGAAGAAAAGTCACTGTTTTACAGGCAAACGTAGTATTTGCAACAATTTTGTTAAAACCCAGAACTTTAATATTTTACTAGAAAGTTTTCTGCCCACAATGTGCACATGCATCAAAAAGTAAAGGAGGAAAACAGTACAACTGTTCCTTAAAAATGAAATATAGAAATACCATGTGATCCAGCCATCCCACTTCTGGGTATACACACAAGAGAACTGAAAGCAGAAACTCAAACCGATATTTGTACACCCATGTTCACAGTAGCATTATTCGTAACAGCCAAAAGGTGAAAGCAAATGTTGGGTGGGAAACATCCATTAACAGATGAATGGAGAAACAAAATGTGGTATATATAGACAATGGAATATTATTCTGCTTTTAAAAGAAAGAACATCCTGACACATGCTATAACATGGATGAACCTTGAGGACATTATGCTAAGTGAAATAAGCCAATTACAAAAAGACAAATACTGTATGATTCCACTTACACGAGGTACCTGATATAAGTAGAATGAATGGTGAGTGCCAGGGGCTGGGGTTGGGGAGAGGAATGAGGAGTTACTATTTCAGTTCGGGAAGATGAAAAAGTTCTGAAAATGGCTGATGGTGGTGGCTGCACAGTACTTACTGCCACAGAACTGTATACTTAAAATGGTTTTAAAATGATATATGTATGTTACATATATTTTATCATAATTTAAAAAAAGCAAAGCAAAGGAGAAACGATATCCAGATAAAATTTTTGAAATAGTTTATCTCTGTTATGCTTACACAGGGATAGACTTGTTGCATTTTCGAGAATCTGGTTGGTAGATCCTAGAAACGTAAGGCACACACACCAAGCAGTGACTTTTGTGGTGAATCCTGCAAGGAACCACGAACGAGTTTCAAACAGCGTTCTCGCAGCCCTGCCCAGTTCTTGCACACTGTTATTCCTTGCTTTTAAATTCCCAACGATGTCCCCGAGAGACTTTCCTCAGAAAAAAATAGGACAGGCAGAAGCGAACGCCAAGGGTTGTGTGCGTGATAAAGGCAGCGGCCTCGGGGTAGCCTAGAGGATAGCACCGCAGGCAGGAATTGAATTGGCCTTCCCTAAACGGAATTTTGACTTTTTTCTAAGTTGGAGGGAGGTGTGGGGCTGAAGGAGAACCAAAGGAGGACAGGAACTTGCGATTCGCCAGAGCCGCACGCAGGACTGAACGCCTCGCGGGCAGAGGACGCCCGGGCTGCCCTAGCGGGGCCAGCGCCGCCCGGATGCCTCAGTTTCCCCGGTGGGAGGTCCTCGGAGCACCGCCCTCTGACGTCACGGGGCGGGCGGGGCCGGGAGGGCCGCCAGGGGTCGCGAGCACGGGGCGGGCGCTGGGAGGTGGGCTCTGAGACCGAGTGTGGCGCCCCCCCGGCCGCGCGAGGCGGAAGCCTGGGCGGGAGGCAGGAGGCGGGGCGGCCGCGCTGAGTCACAGCAGATTGACCCGCCCGCCGCTTCCAGGGGCGGAGGTGACAGCGGCCCGCCACGGGCTGCCGCAACTGCCTGCCGTGTCGCCGCATCCAGGGACCGCCGGGCGGCGGAGAGCAGGTCAGAGGACAGGCAGGGCCGGGCGGGGAGGCCGGGTCGCTGTCCGGGGGCCACGAGCGGAGGGGACCCGCGCCCCGAGGACGTGCCGCGCGGCCGGGCCTGCGCCACCCCTTCCCCGCGGCGGCCGCTGCCCCGGCCGGTTACCCACGAGGGGCGGTGGGGCACTGGGCCCTCCTCGGAGCCCTCCGCTCCACGGTCAGGTCGGGTCCTGTGAGGTCCCGGGGAGTGGGAGGGGCTGGGTGGCCCGCAGTCAGAGGGATGCGAACGTGGGGCTTTTTAAATGGTGTCAAGCTAGCCCAAGGCTCTTTTCACTGCACCGCCCTGCCACTCCGGCAACGAGGCGGAATTTGAGAGCAGGAAAGGAATTCAGCATTAGCCCAGCCTCCGTATTTTACAGATGCAGACGTTCTGCTGTGCTCAGAGTCACATACAGTCGGTATAGGAGTTAATGATTCTGTGTCGGGGAGGCCGGGAGGGAGGATTTCCAAGGAAAGAATAAGACCCGTTTAGCTAGAGATGCTGGTTTGGTTATGGTGGCGTTTTGCATTACCCGCGGGCACCTGCACTCCTGCCACAGTCACTGATGTCCACCAGGCATCAGTTCCTCAAAGCACTTACCCTTGAAAAGGGTGACGATGCTGCCAGTTGAATAAAGGAATAGTGGGGTTGCAAACAGGCCAGATCTGCTGCAAATTAGGCGCTGTGGAGAATCTTTGGGGTATAGAGTTAAAGTTTAAATGCAAGAAAAACCCATTCCACTTTAAAAGCAATCTCACTATACTTAGTTGTCTCACACAGTAATGAAGGGCACTCACAAAGTTACAATGTTACAAAGTAATATTGGTAACTTTCCTTTAGATCTGTTTTACAATAATTCTTATACAGTGATGTGAGCATCATTTATTGAAACGCTTTCTTTTCATAATTCTTAATGCTCTGGTATATGGCAAGCCATGGGTAGCACTAATATTTAGGGTTTGAGCATAGTTTAGCTCCAACTGTTTGCATAGCTGAGTTACAGGGTTGAGTAGGACTGATTGATCCATAGTTGTATTTTGCAAGACTTAAGTACCTGTCAGCATACAGGTGTGGTTTCTCAGAATTAGTGATGCATTAATTACTCTTACAACATGAATAGACTCCATGTGATGAGCAAGTTAGTTTATCCCTTAGTACCAGTTTTTTCTCCAAATTATTGAATTAAAGGATCTCTAAGGCCCCCTTCCATCTTTAAAGTTCCCTGATTTTACATGTTAATTTGAAACATGTCACTCATTGTGACAACAAAAAGTTTTAAGAAAACAAGTTTAAAAAAAAAATCTGCATGATGCATGGCGAATCTTCAAATTCATTATTATTCTCAAGCCCGCCCCCCGCCCCCACCTGTTACTTTATCAGTGTTGGACTAACATAAGTGAAAAGTGATTTTTCAAATTACAGATTCTTCAGTGTTACATTCACTCAAATTCAGAGGCCGGAAAAGAGTGCTTTGTGTATGGTAGAGAATAGCTAAAATCTGACCTGGGAATGGGGCCTGTGCAGTACACAGATATCTTTTGCAATAAGATGAGAACGTTCTGCCTCAGAAAATGTGATAAGATGGCCTTTCTATAATGTTCATGTGGTGTGTATTTTGGGCTGAGATATAATAATAATCTTTATAGACAGTCTGTCCAAACATGCACGAGTTATTTATTGTGTCTTGCAGCCTCAAAGCAGAGCCTCTCCTGC